CAGTGAGAGTGGAGAGACATGGCCTGCATCCCATGACTTATGCAAATCCCTGTGGCTGACTCAGACCTCAGTTTCTCTGCTTCTGCTTGCATGCCACCTTGGTTTCTGCCAATGTCAATACATATGTGAAACCAGCCCCTTTACTAGTTTCAAACATTTAACATTTTGTGAGTTAAGAAATCCTGAATAGGTGATAGACCAGCAAATTATTTTCTTAATTTTTGAGTAGAACATGCTATCTACGTTCATTCTTTTCTTCTACTCATACTTCCCTGAATTAATATAACTGTTTTCTTAAGAGGAATACTGAAAAAATCAGCTTGTTTTCATTTTGTAAAACATAGATTACTGGAGGACTATGAGGAATACAAAATTTGTCCCATCTGTTAACATACATAATAACTAAATGTGTGACAGAATATTCTTTCCTAAGAGAGGGGCACTTAAAGGATATTTGTTCAGCGGTGTTGGATAGTACTATTCAGTGATACACCTCAAAACTAATTACACAAAAATCATCCATAGGAATTAGAAAAGGTAGCAGAGAGAATACCTTTACATCTCGTATTTGAAGAATTAGTAGAACTCACCCAGAAGATACTTGAATATTAAAAATTTGTGTTGGACCAAAATATTATGATTAAAAGGATAATAGAAAATTGTGGAAACTACATTAAAAATTATAGGGAAAGTGATAATGGCTATAAGTTATATATTGTTGTAAATATGCAAGTTTAGATATCAAGATTCTGAAACATAAATGAGAAATGAATGTGACAGATTAAGTATATGAAAATAAAGACATGAAAAATAAATATGGGGTTTTTTTCATTGTATTAAAGGACATCAGTTTTTAAAAAGAGAAATCTAATATTTGCAAGTAAGCAGTACTAACAGACCCTTTTGGGAAATAATGCAGGAATACATGCTGAGAGTCACAATAATGTTTAGAAATATCATAACAACATATTAGGAAATACTATGCTAATTATCAATCTCTCATATATATATATAGAAAATTCCCAGCTTAAAGACTAATTATAGCACGGCAACATAAAATATTACATTTAAATGATTATTTTTGGAGACTATAGAACAACACTGTTCGGGAGAGCTTTGTGGTGATAGAAATATTCTATGATTGCACTGTCCAATATGGTAGCCATTTGCCACATGTGGCTACTGAGCCCTTAAAATGTGGCTAAGGCAACTGAGAAACTGAATTTTTAATTTAATGTTAATTATTTAAATTTAAATAGATAAATGGGACTAATGACCACAAGTTTAGATAGTGTAGTTCCAGAAATAAGGAGAAATGTTTGATATAAGTGAAAATAAAATAGTAAATTTATATGCCATGATTACAAGTATGTACATAACTAGATGTACATATGGAAAGTGATAGTCACAATTAAAATATTTCTGTTAGAATTGAAGGAAATAAGTGATTTTTCTTTAAATGCTAAATTTTTAAAAGGTTACATGACAATAATGTAACACTTTAGCACTGCACTGGTACTGTTCAGTATGGTAGCCACCAGCCTGATGTGCAATTTAAATTTATATCTGTTTAGGTAAAATTATAAATTCAGTACTTTAGTCACACTAGCCACATTCCAAATGGGCAGTAGTCATATATGGCTAATGTTTACCTTTTCGAACAATGAAGCTATAGAACAATTTTACCATTGCCAAAAATTCTATTGTACAGTGTTGTAGAAAGAACTGGTAAAAGGAATATACTGGAATAAGTCACTGATAGTTTATTAGTGAGTAGTTTCTAAGGGCACATGAGAATTAAAACTGGAAATTAGATTCAATAAAAAATATAAAGGAAGAGTATCATAAGATCCTACTCCTGTAACCTAGATTAGTGCTTTTTTTTTTTTTTTTTTTTTAGATAGAGTTTCACTCTGTCGCCCAGGCTGGAGTGCAGTAGCGTCATTTCAGCTCACTGCAACCTCACCACCTCCTGTATTCAAGTGATTGTCCTGCCTCAGCTACCTAGGTAGCTGGAATTACAGGCATGTTCCACCACTCCTGACTAATTTTTGTACTTTTAGAAGAGACGGGGTTTCTCCATGTTTCCCACGCTGGTCTGGAATTCCTGAGTTCAAGTGATTCACTTGCCTTGGCCTCCCAAAGTGATGGGATTACAGGCTTAAGCCACTGCGCCTGGCCTACACCAGTGCTCCTTGAAGAATGGGCTGTGAACTGGTGCTGGTTTGTTAATCAATCCATGACTAAATGCTTACTCTCAATTTCTGTATTGGTTTAGAAACTCTTACAGTCATGTCATATTTCTGTCATTCAGACACATCACCTGTCTCCCTGGTTGAAGTGCAGGCCAGTAGTTTTAACTCAGTTGCCTGGAGAGTTTTATGTTGAGTGAGCTGAGTATAGTCATAATGGTAGTCCATGAACATGGGTCCCCAGTGGGGAGAAAACAGTCCTTCACTACAGATTGCATGAGAAACACTGGCCAGCATTAAAGAAGGAAAGTAGATTGCTCAGGGAAGTTTTGTAGGGAACTTAAAGTGAGATGTTAGTATGGCTTAGTAGTGTGTATTTGCAGGTGAAATGAAAAATTCAGCATGAAATCTCTGAATGTGGTAAACTTAGACTTCATCCTCTGAGGTGGAAATGAGGCAAGGGATCCGTTATCCACAGCATGAATAAGTTTCTAGTCAGTTCCTCTGTCTTGGGAGTTTGTTTTCCCTTTTCGCCCTTGTTGGCCTGGGAGATTCAACCAGCTAGCAGTCTTTTCCTTTCAGTAGGATTTTCAACTTTGTGTTGGCCTTTACCCCGTTTTAGCTCTTTTTGTCATATTATCTGCACTTAGTACTTGGTAACCGTTTTCACCCCTTCCCCCCAGAGTTAGTTCAGAGGTTTACAGGATGTTGAAAATAGGAAAATTGTTTTTAAATTAAGTGAGTTTTGTGTACACTTATTTCTTTAGCCTAAAGTTTTGTTTTAAATCTCTTTTTTTCAAATTTAAACCTGATTCCCCAAGACAAGATATAAAATTGAATTATGTGTGAAATGTGGAAAGGTTTTTACTGCCTGTAATCAAACCATAATCTGTCCATTAAAGCATTATTTTAGTGATGAAGGGTGGACATACATCCCAAGTTTACTACCTGTTTTCTTACTGTGGTTTTGACCGTATAGCAAATGATATCTTCTACTCTGAAATGAAATGCACAATACACATTGTCCAGTATGTTTTGAGTTTTAATTCTACATTTTCAGATTTTGGGGTCAAATGGAATCAAGTACTTTATAAATAGCTGTTTCTTCTGATTCTATTGGCCTTACATATTAGATTTTTTAAAGTATACACATTCAGTCCTTCATCAGTACCATTCATCTGATGTTGATTTTAGCATTTCTTCTTTTTTTTTTTTTTTGAGATGGAGTCTTGCTCTGTCACCCAGGCTGGAATGCAGTGGCACAATCTCGGCTCACTGCAACCTCCGCCTCCCGGGTTCAAGCAATTCTCCTGCCTTAGCCTCCCAAGTAGCTGGGATTACAGGTGCTTGCCACCACGCCCATCTAATTTTTGTATGTTTAGTAGAGATAGGGTTCACCATGTTGCCCAGGCTGGTCTTGAACTCCTGACCTTGTAATCCACCCGCCTTGGCCTCTCAAAGTGCTGGAATTACAGGCGTGAGCCACCACACCCTACCAGCGTTTCTTCTTTTTCTCCCTAATTTATCAGATTTGGAAACAGTTGGAAAACATTTAAAGGAAATAAGTCTCTGTGTTTTTAATAATAGTTTAAGTTAAAGGAAAACAAATGAATAAGATTCTGTTTATTGCAGTTAGACAAAATGTACATATTAAAATACGTAAGAAAATCATACTTATAGAATAGCATCTTCTGATTTCAATTTAATATTATGGTAATGATTTACTTAGGCAGAATTATATCTATAGAAAACCATTTTATCACTTGATTTATATTGCTCTACATTCTGTGGACAAAAACTGTTAATACTAAAGCATTAAGAAGGTGTATTACTTTTCATCTGTATTAATATTCTTCTTCTGATATTTGGTATTTAATAATATATTTTAAAGTACTCTGCATGATTTCCTGATCTTAAAGCATTCCATTCCTTTCAAGGAGTTTGGATTATAATAATTTATTTATAGTATTTTCTCATTCACATTTTAGGATATGGCATTTTAAAATATTGTATTCCTAACAGTTATTTAATATATAATCAAACATTTATATTAGTATTATTTTGTATAACATATTTTCAAGCTCCTCAGAACATTTGTAGCCTTTTGTTTCATTTTATGTAAGTTTCACCTTAAGAATATTGACTGATTGGTTAATATTCTTCTTAATAATCAAAAATTTTTTAAATGCTTACTATGTACCAGGACCTATTTAAGGTACTACAGATAGTGTGTCAAAAAACAAAGCCAGACTTCCTTTCCTCATGGAGTTTTATATTCTAGTAGATTGATTCTACTGTTGATTCATACTAAATTAATGTATGGATTATAGTAGAGTAATTTATTGATTCTGTGGCATTTAACACAATTCAAAGGGCTACTTTTCTGTTAGTTGTTAGGAAATAGCATATGCCATTATCTTGGAAATACAAAGGGAGGACAGAATTTCCGCTGGCTCTAACTCATTGCTTTTTAATGAGTTTAGCTGTATATATTTTTTTAAACGGAATTTATAACTATGATCATTTGGCAGCCTACAGTTTTTCTGTATTTTTTTCAACTTCTCAACTTCCCAGTGATGGGGGTAGACATTGAACTAGTCACTTAAGGTTTTGGGTCTAAGGAGTAATATTTGAAACATGCAGTATTTAGAGGAGATATTTTTGTGAATGAAGAGAATGTGATTTTAAGCATACTCATGATTTCATCTAATTTCTGTTCTCAAAACTTCATTTTGTAATATGGAAAGATAAGCTTGATCCTAATAGTATGATCTCAGTATAATCTTCTACTCTTCTCTCCTCCCTCAGGACAACCTTAAACTTCCACCGCAAGAGGAATATAAAGAGGTCCCTCCTGCACCAAGAAAGATCTGCAGGTCTTTTTCAGTGTTCTTGGAGGTGTGGGGTGTGAGAACTTGATCAGTTTGTGTCAGCCACCTTGTTCTCTAAAGGTAAGCACTGTGTAGTGAGTGCGCACTCGTGGGCCCAGGCTCCTAACCTAAGACTGGTTTTGGAATGCTCCATCGAGGGTGTGAGACCTTCAGATGTTCTCACAGAAGGGAGACCCAGACAGCTACCTGTGGATAGGACATCACACATTCATCAAGAGGTGCTTTTTGTTATTTAGAAGTGAAGCATGCCCTGTGGAGGTATGGATATTTTTGTTTTGTTTTACTTTTAAAAAAAAAATCCCAGTCATAATAAAACCTGTTTCTAGTTTAGTCTGCCTTTATATTCAGTTAATAACTGCTGGGGTTAATCAAGAATTTTTTTGTATGTCTTGAGATATGGATTAAGAATTTTGAAACAATGACACCATTTAGGCCCTCTAGTGACATAATAGTTTCAGTTGATAGAACCAGCTTTGAAGAATTACTTTTCATGATCTTTTTGAAGCTGTATCTTATCTTTACTTCAGGGAAAGCCCCTCAAACCATTTTGTATTCTGTATTACACTTCAGAAAGTGTGGAAGCAAAGGCCGTCTAATCTTTAAAAGGTATGTAATCATAAAATTTTTTATGTCAGATCTTAATTGAAAAAGATTACTTAAAACTTGAAAAAAATTACTTAAAATTGGCAATTTCTTTTTCATCTTACAACTTCTTCCTGTCTTCAGGAAATGAAGAATAAATATGTTGGTTCTATCAGGGAAACCTTATGAAGGATAAACAAATTAATGTCTGTGCTTTACTTCCAAATTCTAACATCAGAAAACCTTATTGTTCACTTATATAATCTATAGATGTCTCTCAGAATGACCAGTCTTAAATTAAAATGTCATTTGGATATCATTAATTGACTATGGGGAAGAACAAAAGCATGCTGATTTCAAAAATGTCATTAATATTAGCATTAGATCAGTCTTAGACAAGAATACTTTGAATAACAAGAGACTAAATGTCTAGTAAAACATTTTAGATTGTAATTCCCAGTATTCTATAGTATTAACAATGAAGACTTAAAGTACTGATGAAGAAATTAAATATGTCCATTTCATTTCATTCATCTTTTCTTAAAGCTCTTAAAGTGATCCTGAAGACTTTAGTTCTACAAAATGTGAACAACTTATGGACCATTAAATTGGGGAGTAATCTGCTGATTTTTGTCTAGCAACTCTGCCTCTGATGCAGGATAATTTTTTTGTCTTTTCAAGACCGTTGTTCTTCCTATATCTGTATAATAAAAGATATTAAAGAGAAAAAATACTTGTGTGTTTGCTGTTAGAATGAGGAAAAAATGCAAACTGGACCTTTTTGAAAAACCTTGAGAACCAATTTACTTTTTTTGTATGTAAATGATTGAGGAGTTAGAACTAGTCTTGGTTATTATAACTGCAGGTAAACTTAAAAGATTTAAATCTTCAAAACAGATTATCATGTAGGTTTTATTAGAAAAGAAATATAGATTATTGGGTGTATAGAGATAACCTATATATACGTACAGTTTTTTTGAATTTTTATTTGCAAGAGCATGCTAAATATCTTAGCCTTTATAACAGCGTAGAATAGAATGGACAAATGTGTTATCTCTTTTAGCCAGTTGAGAAAACACTTGGAATTAAATCTCCAACCTAATGAAAATTGTAAGGTGGGTTATAGAAATAACTAAACAGGTTATTATGTCTTAACCAAACTAAAGATTTATTCTAACTAAAATACTTGTAATCTCCCCAAACATACTTCTTTGTAGGATGTATAAATAAAATGGGGACCTATGAGATCTATGAGATTTTGCCCTCTGTAACTAAGTATCAAAAATAAGATCGTTTCCTAATAATTCTTATTAATAACTTATCCATCTCAATTCATAGTAGGTGACAAAATCAACTATTGTTCTCTGATTTTGATCATGTGTAGGAGGGAAAACCCAAAATAATGGTACTGAGGGCTTCTTCCATTGAAACTAATATGTGGGAGAAGATTTGATTTTCATGTGTACATATACACATACCCATATTAGAGTTTATTTCTTTTTTTTAATCATGTAAGAATGATTTGTCAAAGATCAGGTTTCTGATTTGTCTTTCATCGGTATCAGTATGCCACATTTTGTTTTTGTTTTTGAAGTGTTCCTAGCCACTTCATGCTAGTCCCTACTAGAAATTTTGTTCACCTGGCATGATCATGCTCTTTACCTACTCTGATAGCTGGAGGGAGGTGAGAGAAGCAGTCTTATGTGTTTACCAATACTGATTTTTTTTAGAAATGGGACAACAAAGAAATTCTAGCCGTTGGAGGCATCTGGACCAGCACTATATGGTACAAAGATAATTTGAGCCATAAATAGAAGCCGCATATGTAATTTTAAGTTCTTAATGGCCATTTAAGAAAATAGAGGCAAAATTAGTTTTCATTACATTTTATTTCACCCAATAGATACAAAAATATTATTTCAACATATAATTAATAGAATGTTTTATAAGATTTTTTTCATACTCAGCATTCCAAGTCTGTGTATTTTATACTCATAGCACATCTTATGTTGGACTAGCCACAGTTCAAGTGCTCAATAGCCACACGTGGCTAGTAGTTACCATATTCCACAGTTCAGATCTAGACAATGAGTGGAATTCTCATTTTAGCCTCATACATGCTAAAATCCACTGGATGACCCGCGAACTCCCCTTGTTTAGAGTTTCCAAATTCAGCAGAAGGAAAAAAACAAAACAAAACAGGATGTCCAGTGTAATTTGAATTTCAAGTAAATAACAAATAATAGTTTAGTGTAATTATGTCCCATGTTATATTTGGGGCAAACTTTTACCAAAAAAGTTACTGCTTATTTGAAATTCAAATTTGACTGGGTGTCCTGTGTTTTATCTGACAACCTTCTCTGGTTTAACTTGAGAAGAAGACATCATCAGGCTGCCTGATCTTGGAGGACTAGAAAATAGAGCATGTCTTCCTCTGCACAGGATTTTCACAACCCTCCAAAAATCAGCCTGTAAAGTAGAAAATATCTGTAGCCCATTTCTTCCTAATGATCTAGTACGTTTAAGACAGAAGAGGGGTCAGATGACAAGGATTTAGTCCATACATAAACATTTTAAATCTAAATTATTACCTTAACGTGTAAGGTTTACGAAATTTTATAATTTGAATGATTACTTGAATTTATAAAATGTAGATCATCTAACAGCACATTGCTGCTATCATTTCTCTTGAAAACTAATTCTCCCTTGACAGTAACCATAGCAGTTTTAAGGGTTTTGGCCATTTCAAGGTATTTTCCTACCATTGGTTTCCATTGCATCTGTTACATAAATCTCTGGTAGTCAAGCATTAACACAAAATACAAGGCTACTGAATGCCAGGATTAGGCCTACTTTGTTACAGTATTTAAGTATTTGTAATTCTTTGCTCTGGTGTTGACCATTGGATCCTGACCAGTTCAACAGTTGGCCTCCTAAGAGCTTCTTTTACAGAGGAACATCTTTCCGTTTTCATTCTTTAACATTTTTAATGTATTAATTTTAGCACTATTTTTGAAGCATACAATCACCTCCTTAGTAGTGTGGATCTGCCCTCCTTAAGCGCTACAGAAGAGACTATTTGTCTCGAAAGATAGTCATTGCACCACCTCCCTCTCCCTCCAGAGAATACTTTTCCTTCACAAGGTGCATGACTTTAGGTGACGGGTTTACATTATTATTTATGTAGGCAGGTGGATGCCAACTGCCAATGCAGAGTGGCATAATTTAGCAGTTCCAAAGTTAAGCTATGGCGCATTCCAAATCCATTCACGCTTAGGAGAATGTACCCAAGAGTGTGGGGATGTTTTCAATTACTGCATTTCCTTCAGAGAACAAGAACTACAGGTAAGTTTTTGTGTGTGTATGTGTGATCCAATAATTATTTTTAAATAAGAAATGTCAGAATCTGAAAATATTGCCCCTCCCCCAAAACAGTCACCTGAAAGGTCTCAAATATAGCTTTCAGTATATAATATTATTTCCTCACTCCAAGAGGGAAGGAATTGGAGCTGGTGGTGATGGTGGAGTTGGGATGAGGAAGACAATTTACTGTCATTTGAAAGCTGTGAATGTCACACATTTTCATGTCTAGAAATATCCTGGGTTTATGTAAGAATGATTTTGCCTAACCTCTAATGTCTCAGGTATGAATTATTTTGTCAGATTAACACATCTATATATAAGTAAGGTGTTCAGCCTTTCTTAGCTAATGTCTTCAACAGCAATGAGTAAACTAATGAGTTGTGTCTGCGTTTTCACTTTTATTCTCAAGACTGACTTCCTTTTGTTTAAAGGCTTTTGCCTTATTTCTGAAACCATAATTTAAAGCTACAAAAGACCTGAAATATAATCTAGTACCCTTTTTACCTGGGGATCCTTGGATGGATTTCAGAGATTCTGCGAATCCCCTAAAATTACAGTCATATTTTGTATACATGTGTTTTTACTGGGGAGAATGTCCATAATTTTCACCATATTCTCAGAGGATTTCATAACAAAAAAATTGGTCAGCAACCACTGTGATCTAGTCTAATGTGTTCATTTTACTGATAAACTGAAGTTTAAAGAATTTAAGTAACTTATCTTCATTCATTTGAAAAGTAATACTTGTGAAAAGTTTATTTCTTTAAAATTCATACTGATTTTTAAAAGAAAAATACATTTACCTTCAATTAATTAAACTTGAAAATACCAGCCTAAATGGGAGCGTCAGTTTGCTAATGGTTTCTTCTGTTCTGCCCTTTGAGTGAACTCTACTAGTTAACATTAAAATGGCCTTCCAAAAAAGTACGAGACTATGTGATAAGTTCTTGAAGATAGATTAAAAAGAAAACGAATTATCCATTATAATTTAAATCCCTTTTTCTCTTTTCAAATTCTGTCTCCAAAACTAAAACTCAAGAAAATAGGTGAATAATGTTATTTTTGTATTTCTAGAATATTAAAAAAGTAGGTAATTGCCTTAATAAACATTACAC